AGCCTTTAGACTTCCAGTCCAATGTTCTCCGTTAGACTGCTCTGTATCTATCTGACAAAGTGAGGAATCAACTTTCATTGCTCCTTGATTGCAGAACTCTGTTTTATGTACGAGAAACGGTAAAATGTGGAGAGATCCAATTTTTGCAAAATAAATATGAAAACTGCATAGAGTGGAAAATGTTATATTTGACAGGAAGGGATTTCAAGAAAAGTTAAACCTTAATTTTGGTTCAAACCTGTCAACCTGTTTTAACTGTGTTAGAGGTAATGAATCCTCCTCAGGGAATTAGCCTTTAGATCTCTGGTAATTATCTCTTATCTACAAGAGAAATACCGAGATGGTATCACTAGTCGTTCTGTCAGTGAAATTATAACACTGCTGTAAAAATCTCTGGTCGCCATACATTAGAAAAAGAAACAGGTAAAAATAATTCCCCATTAAAAGATTTCTCCCTTCACTTGTCAATTGGTATGAATTCTTTCAATTTTCAGAGATGGGATATAGATTTTATTCTCCATCATAAGTGAGAGAAAGTGAGTGTTGAAAAATACTCTTAGATTTTAAGTAAAAATTAAAACACATAATGGCTTCCTGTAGTTGTTTCCCATTATTTTTTCTCACTGTCTTGCTCTCTTGCTCTCTTTCACTGAGGCTCCCTGTTTTCTACATCTTTCTGCTCTTGAAACTTCCTTCTCAACACTGTGTGATATGTATGACCTGTCTTCTGTAATATCTCTTTTTCTCCTTTCTCTTTGCCTCTCCTTGTATCTCTTCCTTAACTGGCCACAGTTCATAGTCAAAATATACTGAAATTTTTTAAAAATGAATTTTATATGGCATTCAAAACCAAAATAAAATAGATAAAATCTGTTTTAACCCAAAAGAAAAAAAAAGTCTTATTAAAGCACTAAATAGAAACTAGAGGCAGGCAGGTTTCAGTTTAGCAGAACTAAAGAACTTTCTAAGTGGTTAAACTCTCTGAAAATTAGAATAGGCTTCCTTCCTCAGAAGATAATGAGTTTTTGTTTGTTTTGTTTTATTTTTATCCCAGGGGGCTGAAGCAATATGCAACAATGAGGGGGAAGGGGCTATGCAGAAATTTAGATTTATATAGCTCTTAAAATCCTCTCAGTCTATAATTCTAATGCTTAGGGGTGTGTGTGTGTGTGTGTGTGTGTGTGTGTGTGTGTGTTTTAAAGTTTGATTCTTAAATGTGTGATAAATTGTCTGTTGGTCAAGAAAATAGACACTTCAAGCACCAGTCCACGCAACAAAACAATTATAAAGATCCGTGTCTTTGGGGTTGGATTATTGGAGATTAAAGAGAAAGCACAAGGTGGCTTTGACCAAGTCCTTTAATGGTAACTAATAATGAAATCCTTTTCCAGGATACACATAGAACCATTTCATGTATAACATAAAGAAAATGGTAAAAAAAAGAAAATTAAGTTACATCCTCCTCATTTGAATTTAATGATTGTGCCTGGGAATTGCTACTGTCCTTGTTCTGTTATTAATTGACTACTTGAGAGTGGGTGCAATTCTTCCTTCCTCTGAGACTCCAGTTTTGTCCCAAGGAAAGTTAAGAAATTAAAAAAAAAAAGTCATCTCTGTGATCCTTCTGTGGGCAGAGCCACACATTAAGAACCTTCGTGCAAACCAGCTCAGTATCTTCAAATTTCTGGAGTTCTAGCCTTATTTTCTACTTGTCACATCTGCTCTGTCCACCCATTCCTCTTTTCTTGCCTCTTGGATTAATCAATTCTTTAAAAGTATTCTATTGGCTTTTTAGCTATTTCTCTCGTTAGGGGATTAAACATACATTCTTTCTTTATCTTCTTCTACTTCAAGTTAATGTTTTGTCATTTAATGTAAATTATACAAAACTTGCCATTGTAGAATTCTAGACCCCCTTTCTTTATGCTGTGTTGCCAAATAGTTTACATGCCCATATTTATTAATCCCACAATATAACGTTAAAATTCTTGCTTTAAATTGTTAGTTGTACTTAGTCTGATGTTGCCCTGCCCAGTTATGGTCAGTCCCAGGCAGTGGACTCTCTCTAAGAGGGTCAGAAATCTTTTGCTGTGAAGGGACAGTCAGTATTTTGAGGCTTTGTGAGATGGTCTTGTTTGAAACTCCTCAACACTTCCCCTGTAATGTGAAAGCAGCCAGAGACAGGCTCTAAATAAGTGGGTGTGACTGTGCTCCAATAAAACCTGATTTATGAAAACAGACAGCAGACTCCATTTGGCCTGCAGACCACAGTTGGCTGACCTGTGGTCTATACCATTGGTGGTAAATAGTCAAGGTCCATATTTCTTATCTGTAGTTCTGGAATCCTTAGAGCTCTGAAGATTATATTTTTATGCCTCACTTGGCAGCAAAACATGACCCAATCTGAACTTCTCTGGTGGGAGAACTTGACCTGCCCTGTAATGAGGCTCTGTATTGCCTATTTATCACACTTGGGATGACTATTGGTATGTTTTACTACAGAGATATTAATAAGTTGATTAAAGAATGCTGTTCCACAGCATGCTGGTGGCATTAGAGGACTGTGTTTCCTTTTCTAAATGGAAAAATGCTCAATTCTGAAACACACCTGGCCCCAAGGGTTTCCCTAAAGAATGTGGACTGATGGTGGTCTGATTCCATGTGAGGTTTAAGGACAGTGGTAAAAAGGAACTCTGTAACGGTCTGTGAGAGCAAGTTGCTACCTGTCCCTATTTCCTCTGTTTAAGACCTTCCTCCTGTGCCTCTGGCATTTTAAGGGACTCCCTAGTCACCCCAGGAGTCTCTGGTTCATTGCCCAATTTGGAATGTCTTTGGCCCAGCAGAATGGTAAATTTTACTCCACAGAAATAACAATAGAATGTCTACCAATATATTTCTCAGAAGACAGTGGCTTTTTAGTTTTGGTCTGGTCGATTAATTGGCAGGCTGGTGTATAAGGTTAGGAGTGAAGTCCTGGAGATTGAATTAGAAGCTTGGGTTGTCATGTATTAGACTGTATCTTTGGGGAAGTCACTTAATCTTTGTAAGCCTCAGTTTGTAAGGCTTCAGCTGGAAAAGAGAATGGTAACATTACCTCATAGGATTAAAAGGTAGAGTACTTAGCTAAGTGTTTGGCTCAGAACACATGTTCAATAAATATTAGTTTAGTTATTTTGTGAATAGCACTGGATTAATTGTAAGAATAAAAAGCTGCAAACCACCTTCCGGAGTCTGGTTCATGTCCTCAGAGGCCAATTAAGATTATTTATTAATGGGTTACTGTAACCCCAGCCTTTGAAATATGTGTAAATTCTCTGAACAATTGTGAATTCTTGGAAATTGTTTGCAAAATTTTATGCCTGTTGTCCTTTATAGAATATCTATAAATTTCATCTGAGTCTCACAGAGCTTCATGTTCTAAAAAAGGTTAAGAACCAAAGTCCTAAGTGCACCCCATTACAGCATATTTGGAGGATTATGAGTGAGACAGTGATGTTGTCTGATCCATTAAGGTTTCCCATCAGAATAGAGGTGAGACATTTCTTCACTATCTGGTTTTATGGAACTGGCTTGGGTGCATGACATGAAAACTCTTTGAATATTTGGAGCTATAGTCATCAAAGTTTATGAGAAAGTCCCAAGCTGATGTCAGTTCCTTAGGTATGCTCACAGGAATAATAAATCCATGTGTACATATAAGGGACTAGGCCTTGACTTGAGCCTACAGACTGAGCTCTTTGGTTGACCTACCCTATGAAGCCTTATGACAAATGTGAAATTTTCTGTGGCTCTGATGAAATGCTTGTATTCCCTGTTCCCCATGGGTATACTAAACAGCCAAAAAGAAGAAAACTATATATGAAAAGTCAGCTTATCTTGGCAGAGAACCTGCTTGGAGCAATATTCTTCAAGTCTCTAGAAGAGAGAAAATATATAGCTTTCCTCTTGGCTGCATGACTTGGAACTAGCTGTCACTTAGCAGTTCAGCTTGTGACATGGTAACAGCTGCCCCAGGGACCAGCTCCAGCTCACCTCAGCAGTACAGAAACCAGCTAGAACCAAGGTGGCTGGTACGCGGGTGGGCACGTGGGGTGTGAGTCATGGAGGGAGTCGCGAAACCTTCTCTTGGCAGGGTCTGCTGCATACAGAGTGTAAAGACACCCTCTCCAAGCATACATGTTAAGCATAAACTGTTGCTGGAAGAATACTTGTGATTTTTATAGTGGGAGACCACAGGACCCTGATTGTGCCGACGTAAGGCAGCGTGAAGAGCCAGCCCTGCTACAGCTCAGAATATCATTTCAGTGACAATATCCGTCATGGATTAAAAGTCTCATGTGTAGAGTCACTTAAAAATTTAGAGTAGGAGATAGATGTGAATTCTGGTAAGTTCTAGTTACCTAATGACTTCCCTGGAGGCTGATCTGTAATAATGAGTAAGTTCATATTTCTCAGGCTCCTCTATAAATAACGAAAGGTGGAATTTCAGAGTAAAAGGCAATTTAGTTCTCAGGAAAGGAGAAAGTCCTCTAGCTAAAAGATAATAAAATAAAATGACTTATAACTTACTATAGGTATGGCAAACAATGTAATAGCACCTCAGCCAGATTTCTGAATTCCCAGAAATGGAATTGTTCCTGTTTCAGAATAGATCTATGGCCCATGAAGAGATCAGAGTACAGGGAATAACATGGAAAAGATGTACAGAGAAACCACAGAGCTGATTTTTGAGTTTCTACCATAACATGAGGCTCCTGTCTCTAAGGGTGGGTCTCTGAAATGGGATGATTCCAAGAGCCTGTTTTGGAAGTCAGCATCAATATGTATACCTGGCCACAGAAAATGGGGCTCCCCTTCTCAATCTTTAATCCTTTTGTGATGTCAGAGTTGGCCAAAGATGACCAGTAAGACTAGATAACCATAGAAGAGAGAAACAGGCATGTCAGGATCAACGGATGACTGTTCACATGCTATTGTCTAAAGGAAAATAGTAACAGTACCTTCCTGGAGAGTCTCCATTCTCATCAAAGAGGATCATATCTCCAGAAACCCCAGTAAAATTGGTTTTCATCAGGGAATCCAAAAGTTTCCGTCCATCGATTGGCTTCATTGCATCACAGAGGCCTGCATAGCCTGGACAGAGGGACATCTGCATGTTGTGGAGTCCATAGGCCATGGAATAGATCGCATTGATCACAAATCCCATTTTGGAATCCTGAACGTGATGTGTTCTCAGAGTCAGAGAACCTGTTAAGAAACAAATTATGGATTAACTATGAGATTTAATTCTACTCTAGCTCTCTCCATGGATTCTGAGTAATTGGAGAATTCACAGGAATAATTTATCACAGTTAGAACCAGACTAAATGCAAAGATACAGGTGCCAGCATAGTGTGCTTACTAATTGTATTCTATTTCCAGGTTTCTCTCCCCTGAAAACCTTGAAAAATGACCTGAATTCCCAACAGTAACAAGGTTTACTTCCTTTAATACCAATCTCTGGAGATAGATGCAGAACACTGTATTTCTGGACCAGAAAATTTATCCTAAGGACAGATTAATCTCCTTAGTACTCAACAATGATAACATATTTCTTTGGTTTAGAAATCCACAACAAATCTCTAGTTCCCAAATTATTAAGTTCTAGCTTAGCAAATGCGATTTTCTACCATCTTGCCTCAACTTACCTGTTTAGATTTATCATGCACCACTTCCAACCTCAAAGCATATGCTCTCCATAAACTAGCCTATTTGGAAATTCTAAAATATAATCTAACATTTATGCTCCATTAATTAATTAATTATTGGAGGCTGACCTTAAGGAAAAGCTGGGTGGTTGATGATCTAGGAACAAAAAGATGAAGTGGGTATGAATTCTGAACTTAAGAAGAAAGTTGTTCAATAATAGAGATAAATTATTTAACTCCAGGGAAAGGTCAAAGGTGATCAATCTGTAACACATGTGGAGGTAAAATCCATGGAGGCCCAAAGAGGGAGAGACCCCTTCCAATGGAGGGCTCTTGGGAAAGTTTCATTAAAGAACTACCATTTGGTCTGGCTTACTGAGTCACTAAGTATGGAATGAGTGCCTATTACTTCTAACTGCTCAGAATGTGCTGGAGTTAGGGACATAATGTTGACCAAGATAAATCCAATTCTTGCCCTAGAGCTTAGATGGCACAGGAGCATCTAAGTGGGCCATTGCAGTGTGGTTTGATAAGTGCTATGGAGGACTGAGTCAGGGAGGGGCACTAGACCCAGAAGCTCACTGACGCTAACTATTATGGCTGAGTATCAGTTGAGTGAAGAGTGGAGGGAAGAGCTTGCTTGAAGGTTCATAGATGAGATAGAGCATACTGTGCTTGGGAAACTTTAGGAAGGGTGGCATGACCAGAACATGACATGGGAGATGCAAGAATGAGGAGAGCTAAAGGAGCAGAGAAGTTAGGACTACTTAAACTACATTAAAATTGCTGCATTTTATCATCAGATCCTTGGGATCCTTTGAAGTTTTAACTAGCAAGGGGTGTGACCAGATTTCTATTTCAGGAAGACCAGTCTGACTATGGTGTGGAGAAAGATCGAAAGGGCTGTGGAAGTGGAGCCAGAAAGACCCATAAAGAGGAGAGCCATGATCTGCATGATAGCTGAAGGTGGCCTGGCCTAGGGGAAGGCCATGGTTATGAGCACTAGGGTCTAGGAGGCAGAATCTACTGCAAGACCTGGTGAGCAAAGAGTGGGAAAGATTGAGACATGTAAGAACATGGTAAAAAGGTGAAAGGAACAGCCGAGATAAACACAGACCCTGTCATTTGGGGAAAAGTTTTTTGTAAGAGAGAGAAAAAAGGAATTTTCCAAAGTAGCATGGTTCTTCATAACTTTTCAAACTGTAGAAGCACATTATCCCATTCTTCTTTGCTGGCCCAAATGCTGATATTTTATTTCCCTGAGCAGAGAAACAGGTTGAACAGCATGGCTCATCCTGATACAAGTTTTAGATGGGGAATCCTGTTTCCATAAAAGAACTAGACATTGGACCCAGGCTACTTCTCACTATTCTTAAAATTCCTTTCTCTGCACAGGTGGTTTTCATACTTCCACATTTCCCCTCCTGCCAATGGAAGAAACTCTGTACTCTAGGTACTAAGTCAAATCGTTCAGGGCCACTTTTCACTCCTCTTTCCTTTATACCTTCTCAACTTTTATTTGATCTATCTTTAAAATACATGTAGAATTAAATTACTTCACACCAATCTACTTCTATCAGATTTAAGAAACATCATCTCCTGTCTGGATTACAGGGAACAGTCTTTGACTGGTCTCTTTTTTACTTTTGCCTATCCTCCCCTACTCTAGTCACTTTTCAACACAACAGCCAGAACACTTTCCTTAAAATGTAGATCAGATCATGACACTCTTCTGATCAAACTTTCCAGTGGCTTATTTATTACTGAAAGTAAAAGCGACAGTCCTTGCAATGACTTTCAAAGACATACAGGAACTTGACTCATGGTGCTCTATCCCTCATCCTTCTGATTGCATCTCCTAACACTCTACATTTAAATGAATCCTCTCTAGCCACACTAACCTCCTTCCCAATCCTCAACTGTTCAGGGATACCCTGCCTCTGGGTCCTATACTTGCTATTCCTTCTACCCAGAATGCTCTGCCATAGAGATCTGCAGAAACTGTTTCCTCCTCAGTGCAGGTATTTGCTCAAATATCATCCTCTCTGTGACACCTTCTGGGGACATCCTGTCTAAATCTCTTCTTTACCCGGTCCCCTCCACACATACATACTCCCTACCTCCTTTCCCAACAATATTTTCCTCCTTACTACCATTAAAATCCTACATGCTTGTCTTTTTATTGTCTGTCTCATCTACCCACTGAAATATAAACTCCGTTGAGGCCAGGGATTTTATTCCCACTTTTATTCACCACTCAGCACCTAGACCAGTGTCTAGCACATAGTGAGTCCCCAATAAATATCTGTTCAATGAATAAAAGAACTGTCCCTTCTAATTAGATTATCCCTTCTATTTTCTCTTCCTTCTTGACCCTACTAACACTTATTCTATCCATTTTCAAAGGTTCCAAGAAAGAACATTTCCTTCATGAGGAACACCATGATTGCAGGTACCACAATTAATCTTTCTTTCCAAACTCCCTGTCACTTTCTCTATATCTCTCTCAGTCACCCTGCCCACCATACTATAGAAATGTGGGCATACTTAGGGGAGGGAGAATTTGAAAAATCCATTCCCAAGTCAGCCCATCCCCTACCTTCCTCTAACTCCCTAAATGGATGTGTGTTACTCACACATCACTTCAGCCTCCCAACCCACTATCAGAGGTCAGGAAAGGTTGCTTCTATAGCTACTGGATAGGTGGTGGTTTGATTCTCATTACTTTACTTTTTTCTCTAATGAGCAGAGGAGGGAGATGTAGCCATAAATTCTTGCTTTATGTCTTCCTAGCTCTGTGAATTGGGCAAATTACTTAAATTCTCTAATATTCTGTTTAATCACCTGTTAAATGGTGATAACTCATAATTACCTCACACAGTACCAGGCACAAGGTAGATGCTTCATAAATAGTCACTGTACCAAAATGTAAATCATAACGACCTTTAGCCACTGTGTTGTGTGGTCAAGACTTTGGAGAATGAAAGCAAGCCAAAGGTCTCTCCTGATAGGACGTGCAGTAGAGCTCTCAGGCAGTCCTCTTTCAGGTTCCGTCCTAATTTTTCTTTATGCCTTGTCTGTGATAGACAACAACTGTCACAAAGGCAACATTTGAACCTTATTCATTTGTAAATCAAATCCCAGTGCTTAGGGCATGGTTACTGCACTGTTTGTTGAATTGAATGGAGCAAGAATGAAAATTTGCATTTTTGTTTGGCACTTCTCAAAATAAATTTTGCATATATCAGTGACGTGCATTGATACTGTATTCATACTGCAGAGATAAAGATGCTGAGGTATACACAGTTTAAGTACATTTTTCAAGGTTATGCAAATAACATCAGAAGTAGACAAGAATTTCTAACACCAAGACTGGTGCCCTTTTTGCTATACTATATCACTTTCACTAGAAGTAATCTCTGTACAATATTACTGTAATTTTCTAATTAAGAGATAAAGTGAGGGAAAACAAACGCACAACAAGATTGGATCTTTCCTGGAAAGTGCGATGTTTCTGTTCCCTCGAGTAATGCCCACTAGTATTGCCTAAACCCTGGGCCCAGGGATATATAAAGGGGCTGACCAAAAGGAAGGGCTCAAAATGAAAGGGCACACTGGTTGTACCCAGCCTGTTGAGTCATTTGTTGTTACTGGGCATCTGGAAACAACTGGCCTGTTTGGGCAGCTTTTGGTTCTTGCTGAAGTCCCTGGTAACTGTTTTCCCTTGTCGTTTGAAATACCAAAAGACTGCAAATTCAAAAACAAACACACGAAGCCTGCCAGAAGACAACTAATGTAAATTTAACCTTTGTAATTTCTCCTTAAGTCATTTTGATGCAAGAAAAACATCTTAATCTGTTTTAGCATTCTGGATGCAACAGGGGGTCAATTAATAGAAATTCAAGATTAAATTCTGCCAACACCACTTCACCTGGGTACCAGCCTTTTTCCTCCATTAGAAGCAGCAGCTCAAGGCTGAGTTATCACCTTTCGGTACCTGAGAGAGCTCCGGTGCAATGTGTGACAACAAAATAAATACTTTGAAAATGCTTTAATTTCATAAAACTCAATGAGCTTTAGGATTCTTTCCATGATAGATGAAGAAGTTAAGGAAATCAAGATGCTTGTTAATAGCTGGCAAGCCTAACTTCTTTGTGCAGGGCGTAGTGGTAGCTGTATTTGAAAGCAATTATGCAAGAGACTCAGTATTTGTATGTGTAGGGGGGATACTTGGTTAATTATGAATTCTTTTGCCTCTCATCTCTTCAGGCTTTGAGCTCTGTCTGTATATACCTGCTCCCTACACAAACACATCCGAAGGAGGTGAACCTGCAAGATACCTTACTTTGTGTTAGAGATGCATATGCCAACTACTAGGAACAGCTAAGCATAGAGGATTTAGAGTACAGATTCTGAAACAAGGCAGCAGGTTAGGATCACAGCTCTGCCCACTACTTACTAGCTGTGTGACTTTGGCCTAGGTCATGAACCTTTCTGTGCCCAGAAAAAAAAAAGTGTTTTGTTTTTTTTTTAATATTTTATTTATTTATTTGACAGAGA